AGCATATGGCTGCAATATAACAAAGAGTGAAAAATTTAAGGGGGTCTGAATACTTTCCGTACACACACACACACACACATCACCGCCATCAGTAAATCTGTGAACAGCAAGAAGCTGTGCTGCTGGGTGCAGGCGACTGTCTCCTTGCCTGATTGGCTGCTGGTCAACAAGCTGAACAGGAGACTCTGGACACTGCCTATACCATTCAGTACAATGGTTTTACTGGGAGACATGATGGAAGGAAAAAAAAAAAGTTTCACCTCTGTTTTTCCTGGTAAAAGTCAAAATGTCTGTCGTGAAAAAGGTTTGTTACCTTCTTTACCAACAGATTAATCCACCCCTCTGCCCGAAACAAGGAGAGAATGTAGGTGAGTAGATGTTTGATAAAGACCTGAAAATGAAATGTTAATTATTCTTACATGTCTGGTATTTAGACAGTGGAGGAAAATAACTAAGTAAATTTATCCAAGTACTTAGCTGGAGTATTATTTCATGCTGCTTTATACTAAAGGGAAGTATTAACTTTTTAAATTACATTTATATTTAATATTTTTTAAAACTATGGTTTAAAAACACACAATACAAAACTCCTTAGAGAAAACCAGTGTGTATTCAGGGTCCCTCATCGTGCTTCAGATGCTTGAGTTGGTAACTACAACAGCTAAATCAGGCTACCTAACAAAGTATGAACATGTGCACATTAAATATTGCTGAAGAGGGAGAGCACATTGGTCTCATTGAAGACTAAACAGGTCTTGGGAAGAGACACAGACATTACATGTCTGTCAAAGGCCATTTTAGTGCAGCCGTTATTCTCACTGATATGGAAAAACTGTTTGCTAACTCATTAAAAAAAAATGTACAGAGCCATAAGATGCCACACAACAGAAATGTTTATTGATATATATGAAGTTTTGGCATATGCTTTTAAGGACTACAAGAACTACACAATGGCACAAATTTAAAAAGTAAAAAATCCCTTTCTTAGTACTACTGGTATAGTTGAGCTGGCATTTCAACGATCTTGTCCTTCTAGTGGGCTTCTTACATTTACAATTTGAGCAAAAAGAATTCAAACAAATTCAGCATTTAAAAAAAGGAAATCAAAGGGCAAATGCACTGAGAGCAGCAGTGCATGGTCCCACTTTCACGTTTCAGTTGCTGTAATTTGAGGATTGTACTGTGGAAAATGGACATCACAGCCATGATGATGTATTTTAAGGTGGATAACCTGGAGGTAGACAAATGAAAACAGTCTACGAGTGGCTACGAGCTGCATCATCAGTTGTACCGTTCTTCCATATTTTTTGGAATAACTTGAAGCGTTAAAAGTGCAAATTGTTTTTAAGCATTTATATTCATGGGTGAGATTTAGATTTTTTTTTTTTTTCTCCATGTGATTATTGCAAACGTGCATCAGACTGACTATATATTGTTCCAGTAACATCTTTAACAGGCCACAGCCGTGAATACTGAATAAATTAAATCTGTACATATAACACCTATACATTAATCGGCCCATTAGACATATTTAGTTTTCTGACTTTAATATAGTCTATAGTAATCTTAGACTCACAAACAATAATGGCAGAATGTACAGCTTCACAGAAACAAGGAATAACAGAACATGTACAACTGTCAGGCTTTCATACATTATTTAACATTGAAGAATGATTTTTCATTGCACTGAGGATCCACTTCAAAGAAACTAATTAAAAGGCTATTAAACTCGACTCTTCTGCAACTCCTACTGTAAGTGGTGGGGTTTTAATTAGGTTTTTTTTTCTCGTGCACGGAGGATGTAGTGGTAGAGCAGCAGACGGGCAGAGTCGGCACACTTGAGACCGAAGGTTAACACAGCCCGCCCTCATAGTCATCCTCCTCCTCAGTGGCAGCTGGCGCTCTACTAGCACCACCTTCAGGAGCGGCTGCACCCTTCTTCTTCTTGCCTCCTCCAGGTACCCTTAGGGAAACAGCCAGCTTGGCATACTGTGACAAATACAATGTGTTAGGTTCAGCTGTACGGTTTAAAAGGCCATGAAAACGCATTTTCTCAATCAGCCTTGTTGTATAAATGACGGGGTCCTACATGGACACATTGTCTGCCTGTGGTGAAAGAAGTACTTAGATCATTTAAGTAAAAGCAGCAATACCAGTGTGTCAAAATATTGTTACCAATGCTAATGTGCTAGATGGACACGTTAACGCAGCATGTAGGTCTATCTGGCTGTAATGTGCTCTCAATAAATGCATGCAAAAGATATTAGACTTTAGATAAAATGATGCTGACACTGTTACTTTTGCACTCAAAATAAGGTAAAATAAGATTAAGACAAAGCCTGACATGAATTTGGCTCACTCAAAAAGTAAAAACAAAGCCCACGTTTATTTGTAATTATGTGTCTACAGCACTCACGTCATTGTCCATGTACTTCAGTAAAGGTGAGTTGCACACGCGGTAGACCCGGTCCTCATCCTGCTCGTCGTAACCCTGCAGTAACGTCTCCATGGCAACACAATCTTCACTCCCACTGTAGCCAGGAAGACTGGTGGAGAGATCAAGCAGTACATGGTGTAATGGTCCTCGGTTTAAATGGCAGCAGTGAGGACAATCTCCAGGGTAAACAAAGTCACAAGATGGTCAAGGTGTGACAAAATTTAAAGCTTCATTTACACCACAGATTACGGGTGCTAATGAAACATACCTGTAACTTTCTCTGACACATTTATCAGCTGCTACGTAGTCCCCTCTGTGAAGATGAATCAGCACTTGGGCAGTTGTTTTCTAAAGAATGAACAGGACACACAAGCATATAAGTTTGACACAGGTTAAAAGGTTTTATAATGCACTTTCTCCCTTCCATAGAGGGTCAGAAGTCAGGGCCCTTTCGTGTCTGGTCAGGACTGTGTGCTGCTCAATGACACTTCAAACAAAAAGAGCTGTGTCCTCTCATTAGTCTCCCTGTTACTACATCCCGCTGCTCTTACATTTGATCTTTTTACTATTATTAACAACCTCCCTGAAAAGCCCAAAACCAACTATTCATTTATTCTACTAACAAATATTTGCTGTGTTCTTTCACCAATGTACCACTGTATTCTATAATTATCCAAAATAGTAAAACACTTTAAAAACTTGCACTGCTGCATTTGAGAACGTATTCCTCACAAAGTATTTTTTAATCTCTGCTGAGACATAAACTATACTGGCTGTGTACAACACATGCAGTCCTACCGGTCGAAAAACCAAAAGAATGCCTACTCTGGATATTTTAACCAAATGTGGTAACCGATTAAGAAGCATGGAGATTTGAATGATATAAACCACATGGTAACCCACCTTAAAACACATGGGGAAATTCTCAATCTCTTTGTACATGTTCTTCTCTTTCTGCACAGCGACTGCTGCTTCATCCAACCTGATTAGAAAGATGAATGGGTGAGGATCGATGAAGAGTAGGTACTACAGTTCAACATGATCGTGAAAGTCACCATTACAAGGACGTGTTTGATGTGGTTTCCATGAATTTATTACTTCTCAGCTCCTTTTTTTTATTATTGCACCATTTGGTGTTCTGAAATTAGGTGCATTAAGTTCCTAGTTAGAGTTGGTGCTCTCTAATGCCAGGCAAAGAGAACAAAATGAAATTAATTAAGCTCATCAACCCAAATACCTGTTGTCACATGACAGAATTGTGATTGATTAAAAACCACCAGCCACATTTTTACAGCACAGGTGATTAGACTAAGGATCTTGTGCACTTCACTTCTTTCTATTACCTTTTTAACCTAACTAAAAGTCTGGAGGCTTTGCCCAGAAGTTCAACTGCCTGACGCAGACGGTCCTCATTCTGCAGACAGAAACCATGGATGTAAGAAACGGCATTAAATTAACAACAGCATAATGATTCCGTTACAGTTGGCAGCTCTTTACCTCAAAAACACCAGCTGCTTTTTGATACAGGTCCACTGCTTTCTCCAGATTTATAGGCTCTATCACTCTGAGGAGGAAAAAAGTGTTTAAGCCTGAGAAAAGAGTTCCTATTCAGTGACTGAGCGGTATGGTGCAGGATAATTATATGCTACTCTAAGTAAAACAACTGGAATATACATGAGCAGTGCAAGACTGATAATGTTTCAGTTTAATCTCATATCAATCTTTTAGCAAAATGCCTCAAGTGTGAAAATAAGAGGAGTAATTTTTACTTTCCAGCCCTGTCCAGTGCCATGGCAGCAGTGTCGGGAGTCCCATTCTCCATGTACATCATACATGCTTTCTCTATGTACTGGATGGCCTCTGGCATCTTCTTTAGCTCCTGTTGCAGTGCAAACACAGCCAAGTTATAAACAATTCTTCTGCTGACACATTACCTCCATCTGCCTGATATTAATGACTTTCATGTTTACACCATGGCTCACCTTCATCATCATACCCGCCTGTTCAATAGCTCTATAGAGGAAGAGAAGAGTTTAAATAAAGAGTTTTTATGTTTGCTGCCGACTTAATATTGGCATTATTACTCAAGAAACTTACTTTGCAGCATGAAAAAGCCTGAAAGGCAAGTCAAGGAAATTACAAAACTGCCACAAACAGATTTGTTATAAAACTGTAGCCAAATTAAAGCGAGGATACGTCTTGTTTTCAGTGTGATTTTCAGCTTCCTTCAGGTAAGCATCCTTTGCCTGCTCATACTGCTTGGCGTTCTTGAAACACACAGCTAAAAACAGGACATAAACAGTTGGCAGTAAAATGTGGCATATAGGTTAAATGATTTATTTAAAGTCAAGAATGTTTGTTTACCTGCTTTGGCATATTCTGATGCAGCGCTGTCATAATCAGGCTTCCACTTCATCAGACCTGTCTTTAAACTACACACCCATATAGCTACTGATTAACAAATTATAAAGGTCTGAAGCAAACACAATTGGCTGTATTTGTGAATCGACAACTGCAGAACATGACAAAATAGTGCCTAATAGCGCGCTGTCTGTTAAATATACCATTAATACATTGCTGATACAATAATATCAATGTATGTCACATAACGTATCTGCTGCAAATGCCACAGTGGCCTTTTAGCTAGCTAACATCAATAGTAAAACTTGCATTGTCCGAGCAGGAAAGAAACAGATTCTTTTTTTTGTCCTAACTCACCATTTTTCCGCTTTAGCTATGTGCTCATGGGCTTCGTTTATCTTCTGGGCAGCCATGCTGTTAATTAAGTCAATGAGTTGTAACGAATTTGTTATAGATTAAGTGGTGTGTACGTTATTCCGTCGATGTTTGTACTAACAGCAACGCTTCCTTGGTTGTGACGTCATCAGGTGTCGCAGGCTACGGGTACCACCGAGGACAAAACGCCTATAATTTGAACATAGGCTTTAGTAGTAACTGTACTGTAAATATATGTGAACTACAAATTTTGCTTGAAGTTATGTATGTCGTCAGTTTGTTTGGTATTGTCATTCCGTTTCTCTGTATGGCAGTGTAATTTAAGCTTTTTTGCCATTATGAACCCCATTCCGCTTTCCAGTGTTTCTGTTGTCTATTATTGCTGGAATAATAACTTGACTGCGTTTGTAAATGTTATTAAATTAAAGGAAAGTGTATGAATGACTACAAAAACCTTGAAGTCACAATCTGGAAAGGCTTCTTTCGAAAAGAGTTTCAAAATTAGTTAATAAAACTGGACCCCCTTCACTGCCCTTTTTATGTCACTTTAGGCAAATTATTAATTTTTTTTTTTTTTTTTTGGTTTTTTTTTTTTTTTGGACTGAGTCCAGATCTACTATCTCGTAAATCCCATAGGCCACCTATGGAGAGATCTCAAAACAGCAGTTGGGAGCAGGAACACTTCCAATCTAAGAGACCTGGAGCAGTTGGCAAAAGAAGAGTGGTCCAAAATTCCAGTAGAGAGGTGTAAGAAACTCATTGATGGTTACAGAAAGTGGTTTATTTCAGTTATTTTGTCCAAAGGGTGTTAATTCTGTCCAGTCAGTTTTTGGAGTTCTGTGTGGAAGCTATCAGATGAGGTTTTTTTCTCTCTCTACTTTTTGTATTATCTGACAGAAATGCTGGGGTGCCAATATTTTTGGCTATGACTTCTACACACTATGTTCCATTGAAATGTAGTTAATTATAAATATAGAACTTTATTAATCTTACAAGAAAAGTGAGAAGATGGCATGGACGAAAAACAAGTGTAGTAGGCCTGATTGAGTAAATGTAGGCTAATTTTGATACCTGATTTAATTGTGAAGAGTACAATATTGTAGCCTAGGTGTAATGATGTATGCAGGCCAAGTGATTAACAGTGATTTTAGAACAGGTGCAGTGTAATGCGGCATTTAATACTGTTCGGTTCTAGTAAAAGCAGTGATTGTATAAATATGGATAAAAGTAAATCGCTGCCGACCAAAAAGGCCATAAAAACTGACAGAAGTTTGCGGCGGAAGCGGAAATGGGCTATAGCGTGGTAATGACGTCACGACGTCTCCGGAGTCTAATGGCTGAACAACAAAAGCTGTCGGCAAGCGAGAAACTTTCACAAACTTCTGTAGAGACAAAAGGAAGTTCGAATTTTTTTGTTTCAGTTGTATAACAGTTTAGGCGTGGTGGTTTTGTGCAGTCACAAATGTGGAATTGATAATGGATCCGAGATATGACATACCGCGGAGGGCCGCAGGTGGTGGCGGGGGCTCCGCGAACTGTTCCCCCGCTCTGGGGGCTCAGTCGCGCCGCAGGAAGATGCCTCCCAGACCCGCTGATTTTAAACTTCAAATTATCATTATTGGCTCTCGTGGTGTTGGCAAAACCAGCCTCATGGAGAGATATACAGACGATACTTTCTGCGAAGCTTGCAAGTCCACAGTAGGTGAGAACAGGAAGTGTTTACGGGAATTGCTGTTGCTAATTTTTTTCTGACAGCAATATAGCAGGGCTCCGTCTAATTACTAGGGGAAAGATAACTAAACTACAATGGGCTGGACGTCATAAACCCACTACCTTCTGGTTTACTGTGTAATGAGACTGTACAGAGCTCACATAGCGACAACAACAACAGTTCTAGATGGTAGCAGTGTTGGGGAGGCTACTTTGCAAGCTACCAATTTCACACTGGAAGCGGCCGAGCAAAGTTACTTTAGGGAGAAGGATAGTTTAGGTAACGTGAACTAAAACTTTTTGGAAAAAGTAGTTCGAACTACTTAGATGGTTATGCAATGGTAACATTAAAAAAATCATTCCTTTCCTTTTATGCTCCCAAATTGATTGTAGTTTCATTAGCTGACTATGCAATACTTGAATCAATATGTATGATAATGGGCAAACAGGACATAACCCGAATACAGAGCCTCCATGGAATGCTCACCCATTCTTTGGCACATTTGTGTTTTATCAACTGCAAATGTGAATGTAGCTGAACTACCAGTAAACTACTGGAAAATGTAGTTAAACTACTACTGTAACTACATGTAGTTCACAATTCCCTGACGCTGGATAACTGTCTTAGCTGTTAGATGTTACTGTGAAGTATTTTTAGCACCCAAACTATTTTTCTTATTTTTAATGTGAAGTAGGAATAAAACAGGTGTACAAACATAGGTAAGCAAGAGGTTTATCATTGCAAAACTGGACAATCACAGGGGCAAATTTGGATAAATTATAGATTGAATATGAGGCTAAAAATAGGCAAATGTCCAGCATTTTTATAGATTTTGCATTTTTAAGCAATTTATAAAAGGTGAGTAATGAGTATTTGTGCTGAAAAGAGAGGCTGAGGCTAAAGGAGTATGTGGAGCTGACTAAGAACCTCTAAATGTCAAGGTTTTCTCACAGGTAAAAAGCTACACAAAATTATCTAGAGCTTGTGTGAAAGTTTAAAGCGTGTTTACCTTTCTCTGCACTCAACACAGTAATGAAAATACTTGAAACGTATTATTTGAGTAGCATGTTTTTGCAGCAATTTGACAACTGTGCTACTTAGTCATTTTCTGTTAGGGAGCCTGTTATGTTTATTTAAATGAGGGTCTAGTCTTGTCCCATCTAGTCCCTTCTCCAGGTCTGAACAACCATTTTTAATTTTTCTACAGTAAAAACAAATTTATAGGCAACTTAGTGAAAGTAAGAACACCTTGTGGCAAGTTGCTGTGCTATGATGATGCTGCCAGCTTTAAATACACATCTGTTTATATGTGCAATTGGGTAAACAGTCCCATGACCAATACAGCAGTTATTCCTGTTGTCAAATCCCAAAATAGTCACGCACAAGCAGCTGCTATTGCAGGGCTATATTTTGTTCTCTGTCGTTCCTGTGCCACAGCTTTCAGGTTGTGTGAGCTGTGCATCACTGACATTGTGCTTCTTTGATCACATGTGCCACAGAGAGAACAGTCACTGATGTTTGGCTGAAAATGGTTAATTTCTTGTTATAAAGTATGCCAGATATAACTGCCTTAGTCATAGTTTTGCAGCAGTCAAACCATGGAAGCTTTAAATACAATATAATTTAATCAGACTCTTTTTAACACAAATAAGGGAAGTCATTTTTTGTGGCGTTTGTTCCAGAACAAGCCAACTGTATGTACATAAAGCAAAACAACACAGAAAATGCTTGTTCACATTCACGTTTCTGTTTCCCTCATAGGAGTTGACTTCAAAATAAAAACAGTTGAGCTGAGAGGGAAGAAGATCAGACTACAGATATGGTGAGTAACTGGACAGAAGTCAGCCAGCTCCTTTACTCCTCTCTGGGATGCATCTCCTCTCTGCTCTATCATGTTGTTTCCTCTGTCCTGTCATGCTGCAAAAACCCATGGTGTGCTGGGTGCATTTTGTGACGTAGATGAGGCGTGTGCAAAAGTCAAATAGCTTAACATTACAATAAGAAAACAGCATTTCATGCGGTGTATTTTCTAAACTTGCAAAACAAAAAAGTTTTATATGAACATTGAATGTTTTTATCCAAAGGGCTTGTGGCTTCAGTGCAAATCTAACTTTTAACCTCTTCTATGGAACAACAAGTGACCATACATGTTGTTGTCTAAAAAGGTGGTAGTTGCTAAAGTTGGGGTTTTATAGATTTTATTGAGTCTGAATCCTTTCAGATGCCTTGTCAAATCTTTAAGTAGTTAGTTTGGTGGGGAATAAAGATACCTTTTTTTATTTCACTCAGCAGAGGAGGATGGATTGTGAGGGTGACAGCGTGAATCTGTTTTTCCCCTCCCACTGAAACCTCTTGCAGGTTGGCCACAGAATATACATCAGAAGACCTACCTGGCTCTCTACTACCAAATTTATTTATTTAAGTAGCATTTTTAAACCATTGTATACACTAAAGCCAACCCCCATTTTACTTCATCCACACTAATCTGACACACCTGCAGAACTGAGTGTCATAGTCCAAAATTAGCACATCAGATTCTTTTCAAAGTACTACTATGTAGCAGTAATTTGATCTTGATTATATTTTTATCAGATTTCTTTGGAAATGTTTTTTCCAGTAGCACTAAGAAGAAGATACACTAAGAAAAAAACATGTTTTGATCCAGTGTAGTTGCACAGCAGCTGGCCCCTTTAGACATACAGAATTATTGCATCTTGATAATCAGACTGAATTGTATTGTTTCACTTTGGTAGGGTAATATTTGCTGAAAAAAATGGGAAGCCTGCAGCAATTCAGAGCCAATAACAGGGGTGATGTTATTTGATTCTGTTTGTGCCTTGTGACTTTAACTAGGCCTGAATTACACTCTGAAAACATCCAGAGCTCAAGCATAGCAAAATGATTGTTGTGCCATAAATTACAGTTGGGGAAGTTTTGCATTAACTGTGTGTATGACCAAATTAACTTTGTGTGACACTGCTGCAATAAATTGCGGGAAGTCTCTTCTGTTTCACTAACACATGTGACCTGTTCATTAACACCACATCCACCCTCCCACCTCATCACGTCTACCCTTTACCGTGACCTGTTTTGTCCCCGATCGTCTGTCCGTCCTTGACCTCTCAGATCAGGAAGGCCATCGTCAGTGTGTCTTGTCTCATGTTGACCTGCTTACAGTACATCAAGCTTCACCACTGCTGCTAGCTAACCCTGCCGCTGTGCTGCTGTGTCTGTCTGCTCATAAGCCTGACTGTGACTCACAGGGCAGCAGGGAGACACTAGCTGGCTGAAGGTACGGTAACACTGCACCATGAGTGCAACCACTTGTCGTGCTAATGATCAGCTGAATCATAACCTAAACTAAAAAGAATCTGCACATGCATGTAGAACAGTCTTTGCACTTTTTACATTATTAAAATCAAAAGTAAGTTTCCAAATATGTACATTTAATTTTTTATAAAAATGTAGCTTTTTTTTTACTGATTATAATAGCTGTAACTTTTTATCATTTTAGTTTGGAGTTAATGGCATTATATTTGGCACTTTTAAGCATTTAACAGTCCAGTGTTCATAACAAATTGTTATAGTTTACATTACATCTTTAAGTCTTTATAATGTACAGTCACTTTAGCAATATTAACAATACAATAAGCTATACCATGACATTTTATAATTACAGCTGTATAGTCTGTGTCTTAGTATCTGCTTCCCCTTACATTATGGTGCTAAATAGCAGAAGTTAGATTAAATGTACATGTCATCTTTACTGAAACTGTAGAAATCTCAATTTGAAACATTTTCGATTTCTGTTTTTCCTCACTAGATGATGATTGTTTGTCATGATGATGATGATGATGATGATGCTGTGGTGTACAGATTATCCTACCCAAAGAGCAGCGTCAGTTTAAAATGAATAGTGTATATTTTAACAATATACAGTATAATCATCACTATTAATTAATCAAATCACTTTGAGATGTTGCTACAGAGCTAATTCAATTTTCTTTTTTTTAAAACCTGAATCTGTTAGCTATGTCCATACTTACTGAATAAAAAAAAATCTTAAACCAGTTAATCAGTGTCACGGTATTCCAAAATGATTCGAGACACTGCTGTGACTGGACTGAATAATAGATGAAAAAGACCTTTGTTATTCTAATTTAGTTTCTTCTTTTCAGGGACACTGCTGGCCAGGAGAGGTTCAACAGCATCACATCAGCCTACTACAGAGGTGCCAAGGGAATAGTGATAGTGTACGATATCACGAAGCAGGAGACCTTTGATGATCTTCCCAAATGGATGAAGATGATAGATAAGGTAATTAAACGGCCGGAAACAAATTCCTTGTTTGTGTAACATACTTGGCCAAATAAAGGTGATTATCCTTAAAGCTCTTTAGTACTGGCAACAGTCGGTAAGTCACTATATCACTTGTTGCTATACTTAAAGCCAGTTTTCATGGTCACAGTATGCTGAACTGATTTCGGTGCCATAATCTGGCTTTATTTTTATGAAGTGGATCTCTGTGAGCTCCTGACATGTCTCCTCTCTACTCTCTGGTTTGTGTCAGTACGCCTCAGAGGAAGCAGAGCTTCTCCTGGTTGGGAACAAGCTGGACTGTGAGAGTGATCGTGTCATCTCCAGACAGCAGGGAGAGAGGGTAAATCCAACACAAAAGTGCCTCCAGATCTACATCTTTGGTTTCTAGTACTAAGAAAATCATGAGAAATGTGGACTATATGCTTCAAAGACTCTGTAGCATGCTAATCCAAAGATTCCATTAAACATAAATGGGAGAGTTTTTCATCGAGTATCTAATTGTTGAGCGAGTTTGTGCTGTGCTCAGCCTGTTTCTGTTGACTGATGCAGTTGTTCTTTGCAGGCACCCAGCTAATTTCACTATTTTCTCGTGTCACAGTTTTCCTCCCGAATAAGTGGAATGCGCTTCTGCGAAGCTAGTGCCAAGGATAATTTTAATGTGGATGAGATCTTCCTGAAGCTGGTGGATGACATTCTCTGCAAGGTCAGTGTGTTTTAATCTCCAGAATTTTTCTGTAAAACTTGCATTGATTCTGCATTGAAATTGCACCTGGTACAACAACAAACTATTTACTATCAGATATTGTGGTTTATCCATTTTGCTTTCACACCACAAAAATGCACTTGGAAATGGAGCGGGACCCTCCGTTCAGGTTGTCTCAGCCCTGTTGTTTAGTCTGCAGACCGAACCAAACAGCCATCATTATCTATACCGCTTGTGCTGAAGAGGGAATGACGCATAGAGACAGAATGTCCAATTATGTCCAACTATCAACATGGCTGTCAGTTCATTTTCATTGCCATTGGACTTAATCATATGTTCTGACTTCTTCGTTGTTCCTGATCCAACAGATTCCTCTGGAAGTTCCCAACAAGGAGCTATCGAACAGCGTCCTGTCTCTGCAGCCTGAACCAGAAGTGCCTCCAGAGTTGTCCCCTCCCCTCATGCGCTGTTGCTGAGAGTCACAGTAGTCCCCCTGCATATATTCGCAGCACACACACTCAGCTCAGAGTAGCAATCTGGTCACCAGGGGGCAGCACACAGCAGCACATTGGAATTATTGACTGCTGCTAATAAGATGCATGGACTCTCCTAAACAAGTATTATTCCTTCTCCTGTTCGGTAACTGTACAGTATGACATGTACCACACTAACACTTGGTGAGTCACCCACTTCCTACCACCTTTCTGTCTACACTTGACCCAGACTACCTCATTCCTCGGACTGTTAGACTAGCTGTGTCCCACATGTGCCTTCGAGGTAGCAAACCCTCTGATAGCAGCTGCACGTTTTCTAAGGAGGGGGACTATTGAGGGCTTACAACTTTTTCTTTAGAAAATTCTTCACGCATACCGTACACTAAGTTTGACATTCTGAGTTGCCTGACAGTCTAACTCAGCATTTTCTGCTCACAGAGATGGAATAATATCTCGCGTCTTTTCAGCTTCATTTGAATTCTGGGTCTAAGTTCAGTAGTTTTATATTCTTATTGATGGATATTATTATCAAGAAATGAGTTGAGCTAAACAAAAGCATGACTTCATTTCAGTTTGTATTCCTTTCCCTTAAAGTATTAAATTGGCTGGAAAGGCTTGTTTCATGTTTGAGTAAATTGTTTTGCACTTCAGTTCATCTTTAACCTAGTTAGACATGTGGAAAATGAAAAGCACACAACTTGTAGTTTAGCACTACTGAAGATAATTGGCTGCCCTGAACTCTCTAACACTTTGTCTGGGATGGAGGTGAAAGGAGAGGTGGGTAATGTAGTTTTTGAGGGACTGGTGTTTTCACAAGGGCAATGTCCATGTGTTAGCGTGTTTTCAGAAGGAGCAGAGACCTTAAGAAGTAGGACAAACACACACAGTGTTAGCCGTTGCTTTATTACTAATATTTCTAAGTGTTTAGTTGTGATGTTTTTCCTCTGAATTCAGACACAGCTTAGAGAACCTCCCTTTGTTGGGGGCCCGGGGGTATAGGAAGGTGTAGTATTTTGTTCGTCTTGTCAGGCTTTTGTTGCAGACTTGCTTCGTAACAAATTAATAAAGATATATCTACGTAAAAATCCTTGAAGGGGATGTTTGTGTTTTATAGAGCGGGTCAGCAGTTTCAAATTTCTGATTTGGTAGTTTTTTATGAACCAGTATGGGGATAGCCCATTACTTGCACTTGCACTTGCACAAAAAAAATCTAGGCTATGCATGCTAAGCCCTGGTGTGTCTAAAGATCTTAATAACCTTTAATTCTTCCATCTGTTGTGAAATTAATGCAGTAGTATCAGTGTAGCACTCTGGGTGTTTCTGTTTTGTCCTTACATGTAGAAGTAAAAGCTAGAGTCTGAGGGTGAGGAAGGACCTGATCTGAAATGACTCAAACTGACTTTTATTTATTTATTTTTTGTTTTGTTTTATTTTAAGGCCAAGCTTTTGTGGACTTAAATGGCACATTATGTATTCTGGCAAATTAATACCTAAAATGCTGAAAATATGAGACCCTTCTAACACCCACTGACATCCGAGCACATCCTGCAATATGATTATCCGTTACATGCAAATTATCTGCGGTTTAGCAATATCACCATTGTGTTCTGAAACCGGGGGGGGGGCATTTATTAACTTGCTATGCCTCTAATTTTTTTTGGCATGTTTAAAGCAGATTTGTGGTATTTATAACTTGTGGCATTCATGAACTAATATAATGCAATTAAATATATCTATATTTATTACCATGTTATGGTTTTGATTTTATTGTGTTTGGATCTGTGGCTCTCAAGGAGGCCTTCAGTGGATTTCAGGAAAACCAAGAAGATTTGTTCAATTTGAGCAACTACAGGTTGAAATCATTGAAAGATGTTGTAGCCTGTAATGATGTTTTTTACTTCATAGTATAGATTAGAAATCGTAGGTCTTGGGGACGAAACTGTCGACGTGAGGTTCTGGTTTAGACGGACTGACTACATTGCATGAGGTGAGTACTGGTCTCTCTTGCAAACATCTTTGCACCTCGCGTGAGCGTGTTCAGTAGCCAATAGTGTTTACGTCTGTGCCATTAGGGCATGCGCACCATAGTGTGTAAGACCTGGTTCCGCCTGGTCCCAGAGAAAACAAGGGGTGTGCTTGGGTGCTTATGAGCCAGCGGCGCATGCGCCCCGCAGAGAATCACGGACGTCGAGCCTCACACCGCAGCGATTGCAGATCTTACAAGTCAGATAGGAAGGAGTGAGAAGGGGTACAGGGAACGGGGGCCCAGCACCCACAGCCCGGTGAAACAGAGGAATGGAGACCCGGCCTGCAGAGGAAGAGAAGGACTCCGACCGACTCATTTCTTTCTAACTTGAGCCTTTTAAGTCCTGTCTGCAGATGCAGCCTGTCTCTCATCCCACCCGCCCCAGTAATCCCATTTGATTGCAGCGTTTCCTCCAAGGGGACTACAGGCACAGGGGACTACAATGACAACCTGGTGAATGCAGGCAGGGTGGAGTGAAACATCCACCACAGCGCAGGATGCCTATCTCCAACCCGACAAGGAAGAATGTAGAGAAACCAGACTGCTTTTCTGGTGTCGCATGTCAGAGATTTTCGTTGGTGCTCTGGGTTGATCGTTTCCTTCATCGCCCTTCTGCTGTCGGTGTCTGTGTATAATGGAGAGCTCCAATGGCTCTGGCAGCGACACCAAACCGCAGAGCCGCCAGCTGGAGAAGAAGAGACTGAACCGAGCGCCTTCTCCGGCCAGACCTTTCCTCAAAGATGTGCACTCCCGTTCCACCAAACCACCTGCCATCGTACCCAAATCCCCCAGACTCAACAAGCAGCATCAGTCTGCCACAGTGCCCTTAGCCCATCCGAACCGCAGCTCCAGACGCAACACAACCGGTGTGAAAGACAAACCAGCCTCGGCAAAAAGTAACACCAAGTCTACTGTAGCGAAAAAGCCTACAAAGGTGCCCCAGCATATAGTAGCTGAGCCTAGAGCCGCCAGCATCAAACCGGATAGCACCAGCAGTCCGATCCTCGCCAAAGGCAAGAAGGGGAGACTAGCCTCGGGGTCCCCGGGCCCTCTAAGCCATGGATCACCGATCCGGGTGCCGACCGGAGCGTCTCTCGGCCAGGTCAGCCAGACCGACAGCAGCTCAGACTTGTCAGACTGCCCTTCCGAGCCCCTATCGGACGAGCAGAGGCTGGGACCGGGCGCTAGTAGCGGCGCCC